GCCTTGTACTCTTCTAGGTTAAAAAAACTGTCGTCCATAAAATGCGTTGCACAAATTCAAACATCTGGGTTGTGCTGTTCTTTTGTAAATAAATGCGGATCCGAAACTGCAGCCTCCGGTATTGCAGGAATGCCCTACTCCAGTAAAACAGGCTTATTGAAAATGCAGATTCATTCTCTGCCAGCAGAAGGCGCTTTCGGAACTGCAGTTACTGTTTCCTCGGTAACAGCAGAACACAAAGCCGTGCACCACTGGACTCTGAAACGTGCAGACCTCATATTCAATGAAATCATTGCCTTTTGAAGTTTAATCGTCACATTAAGCGGTATGCAATTCTGGTCTTTCCGCCCCCAAATTTAAGACCTCCTGAAATCATATTTAAGATTTTTTTGTACAATTTAAGACTTTGTATGGCCTTAAACTTGATACAACTAAATTTAAGACTTTTTAAGACCCCGCGGAAACCCTGTAGATATAGAAACAATAAATGTACGTTTACTACAAAATATGGACATATAAACAAATGTTTAAGTAATCTGAGAGTGTAGAGAGATTATTATTATGACGATAATTATGACTATTATATTCAGGGTGTAGAGAGATTATTATTATGACTACAATTATGACTATTACGTTCACAGTGCTTCATGGAAGTGAAGAGGCACTTAGAAGTTCTTTTGGTGAGATTTGGTTGTCACGATTCTCTGATTGGTGGAGACCTGTGTGCCAAATCATGGGTAATGTAGTTTTTCACCAAAAATGTAGCTGTTACGCAAGATGTTTCAAAAATTTTTTTGAAATAATGCAAGCTGAAAGCTTCAACAAAAGCATATATATATTTGATTAACAGCCTCATAGCTCACAGTAGGTCTATCTTTAATGGTTTATTAGTCTTTGTTAAAAATCAGTTCCCATATAAAGAAAAAAAAAAGGTCAGGTCAGGTTTTTGTCAGGTCTTTTTCAAGATACATCACTAAACCTCTCCCACCCTCTTTTTGTCAAATCTCCCTGTCCTCTTACAAATCTGGAAAAAAAATGAATTTTTTTTTTTTTTTGGAAAATGTTCTTCCACTCCTATCATTTATTCTCTAACTCTCACTCCCCTAATTCCCCTTCTGTTTGCTAGCATTAGTTCCTTTGTAAACTTATTTTCTTTTGTTGTAACACAACCAGTGGTTTAAAGGCCAATTCACACCGCACAGACAAATGCCGACAAACACATTTTGTTGGGTTTTGTTTGATCAGTGTGTTACCCCTGTCAGCATCTGTTGGCGTTGGTCGGGTTTGTTTTCACCTGAGTGAACATGCTCAATCAGCATTTGTCAGTGTCTGTTGGGGCAGTGTGAATATGAAAGTTGTTTTTCATAAAATTCTAAATCCAATGGCAAACTTTGGTTTGTTGGTGTTTGTCTGTGCAGTGTGAATTGGCCTTAAGGATTTCTGCAGAAAAAAAGGGTAAGTTGAAATTGAACAACATGCTGTTACAATAAATATAAAAAATTATGAGTTGAGAGCATTGTATTTCATGGTCTCTGTATAAAACCCTCTTTCCTCTTCACTGTATGTAGTAGTGACTCCTGATTTGTTTGGTTGTTTGCGATAAACAGTTTGTAAGCTTTATATTCTAATCACTGAACACATGCATGGCAGAGGATTTAGTGTCCTTGCATTATTAAGCCTGTGGGTGGTGCTCTAATATTGATTAACAGGCTCCAAGTACACAAGACACATGCATAAAATTATGCTTTCTTTTATTTAATAAGCAACCCCATGTATATCTTGTTAAGGATGAACAGACATGCCAACTAGTTACTGACCTGATATAGACTAACACACACATAGCTGAAGTGTTCAGTTTATATTGAGGAATATTTTGAGCAAAACTGTTGAAGAAAGTGTTTGTTACTCACCCTTGTGGTGATTGCAATTTCGAGTTTTCCTGGTGCTCTTTTGTTAGGCTAAGAAATACAATATAGAATCAGTAAATAATTAAGTAGGTTTGAAAAAGCCAATTTACTGCAATGCTATTTAAACTTCTTCTTCTTCTTCTTCTTCTGAGATTAAATGTATCAACTCTAACTTACTTTCTTTTATTTAATAAGCAACCCCATGTATATCTTGTTAAGGATGAACAGACATGCCAACTAGTTACTGACCTGATATAGACTAACACACACATAGCTGAAGTGTTCAGTTTATATTGAGGAATATTTTGAGCAAAACTGTTGAAGAAAGTGTTTGTTACTCACCCTTG